ATAAACTTTTCAGGATAACCATTCTCACTTAGCAACCAGTTTAATATTGTTAAGTTCCTCGTCAAAACATTCATCCAAGCAAATTCCTCTTGCTCTGTGGACTAAGCACTTTATTAGATTGCGTTTGTATTTCAAGGGCACAAAGCTGAGAAAATGTGTGTACTGGCCCGTTGATGTAGGTTTTCTATAAACACTTCTTATTGTACCGTCCTCTTTTCTGGTCATAAGGACGTCTAAAAATGAAATACTAGAGTCTTTTTCTTTCTCAATAGTAAAATTTATTGCAGGAAGTACCTCATTAAATTTATCCAGGATGTTATTTGCTTCCTTTTCGTTCTTCATAATCAAAAAAGTATCATCCATCTACCGACAATAAAATTCGAGTTCATTAATAACATCCTTCAAAGGCCCATTTTCTAGTTTCTTTTGTCTACCGTTATCTCCTATCTAGCAAGTCTTGTGTTGGTGAAAGGATCAAACTTATCACTTTTATTTGATAGACTCTAGTTGAACCAAAATCTGATAAAAGCGACCTTTCAAGTTTTAGCCTTTGAACAATGAATGATCACAAAACTTTTTTTATTTATGAATTACCGTGTTTCGAATAAAAACATCACAACACACGTAAATAATAAATATATAAAGATATATACCGATTCAGTACATTGAATTAATGTGCGCTCTCTGTGTGAATGTTGACCTACACAATTGACCTTTACACACGTTTATTTTATCTACTGTTTTTAAAACTACTATATATTTTGACGTTGAATAGGATTAGAGTAATTCTGCTGAAATTAAGAAAACCTGTGGCTTACGCACAATGAAACTTTCAGAAAGATCTTGTTTGTATTTTTTCTAAACACACTGAGAATATTTAATACAATTTAGATTTCCCTGTCGATTGATTAGACTGAAGTGCTCTGTCTCAGATTGATATCTGTCGGCTCCTTGTGCAGATGCTTCGACGATGTCTGGTCATGTAACCTGAAGTGGAATCCAGGATGTGCATTCCGTCCTATTTGGGACTCGTTATCTGGATGTACCGTCGGTGGGAACACCATCACTCACTGGGAAATGCAAGTACATCCAGTTGACGAGCCCCAAATAGGACGAAATGCGAATTGTGGATTGCACTGCTAGTCACCATCAACCAACTGACACTGAGTATATTTTTGAAATTATTTTGTGATGATTCACTCAGATTTGGCGCTTAAATTATCCTGGAAAATTCGCAACATGAAAACGTCAAGATATTCATGAACAGTACTGTTTAAATGGCGAAGGTACCAAACAACAATAATTCACGTGTTTCTGAACTGGTTACACTAGTTTATGATAAACTCAATTTTTATGATTTCCTCGATTCTAGTAATTCTACGTGCATTAACAAAATATTTGTTATGTGTGCCAGTGTTTGTGAAATAGGCCATCTTTAAGGGGTCTGTTTAAAATGGGTACTATGTGGTTTTTATTAGTTTCAGTGTAACATTAGAAATAAAAGAAATTGTAGTCTGTGTTGTGCCTATCAAGTACTAAAGTTTTTTTTGTTGATGAAAATCTGTTCAAGTCAAAAGAAAACTGTTGCTGTAGAATTTCAGAAATCAGTGAAAACGCTCAATGAGTCATGAAGAAGAAAAAATAAAAGACAACTCAGCGAAGAAAATTTTATTTATCGACGAAATCATCTTCAGAGGTTGTACAGTTGTATTTATATTTACCAATAACGTATAGTAGTCCATTAGTGAGTAATAGGCGGAAGGGTGACATAATTGATCTAATTACTCAGAAGTGACTTCAAAAGTAAAGATTACAGTCGTAAATCAAACAAAATCCCTACAAAAGCCAGTACCTGAAAATTAACCTGGTGCTCACTAGCGACTGGCCCTATTCAGGCAGTGACATCCTTTAATAATGGGTGCTACTGCTGAAGAGTTCCAAACTAGGCAGACAAAACAGCTGTCTGGCAGTACTCCCAGCTGATTTTCCAATGGTTCCCTAACTGATCTCTGCTCCTGATGAAATCCTCCAACCAATCAAACAAAATCCCTACAAAAACCGATACTTGAAAATTACATAGTACTCAATGGCACGAAGGAAGAAAGCGTTAGATATTTGATCAGCTTAAAATTGTTATTTAGTGAGAATAAAGGTAGTTGAGTTTTGATTTAACAGGTGTGAAGAGAGTGTGAAAAACTACAAAAGGAACATATGAGAGTGATAATAGTGAATCATTTATTAAAGTAAAAGCAAACTAAAAGTAAAATTAAGAATTAAAAAATAAAAGTTTTTTTTACAGAGAACGACTAGTGAAGAGATTAAGACCATGGTAGAATAAGAGATTGGACAAACCTTTTCTGTATACAGAGTTTGAGACTGTATTGACAAAGTGACAACGCCTCCGCCATACACAAATGCCGAAACCTGACATTCTTTGTGCCACTTGGCCTCATCTTTTGGATAATCTTGGAAGACGACTCTGGTGGAGCTACGTGGCTTGAGTTCACCAAGTGCTCAAGAATTGAGCTAGTAACTATCTTGCATTGTCTTTTTACTAACCATAACGGATAATATTCAGAGATGTGTCTGGAAAGTGTGCACTTTGTGGGGCAAATATAACTTGCTCCACATCAGCAGGTGGATTCATAAACACGCACGGAAGTGGCCCTAAGTGGCAATTTGTCCTTCACACATCCAATGATCATTTATCGTCTGTAAAGTTTGATCCGTAGATCAGACGAAAAGAAGGCCTTTCTAAGTAATTTGGATAAGGGGTTTTTCAGAATCTCGGCTGCGCTATCACCTTTAGTTTCAACATTCATAAACGGCGGTCTCTTCGGGACCGTTTGGGTTCTTTTGCGCTTTTGTTTTAATTGCATGTTTTCTCTCGGTAAATCATGAAGGATATCCACTTTCCATCAGAACTTGTCTGAGTCACTACAGTTCACCATCAATTGTATCACTGGTGCATATCCTTCTTATTCTTGAAGACCCAGATGTAAAAATTCATGTAGTGACTATTACATGTTGGTTTCCTGTAGATCTGTCTTTGAAGAGAACCGTCAGATCTTCTTTTTAGAAAAACATCCAAAAATGGAATTCCGAGTTCATCTCTGATTCCGACGTGATCTGGATAGCATGATGGTAGTTGTTGAACTTCTTAGTTATCATCTCGATGTTAGTATGCTCATCATACATGATAAAAGTATCATCCATGTATCTTTGGTACATCTGAAAACTAACGATAGTGGGTCGTAACATACTATTATCTAGACTTACCAAGAAGCAGTCTGCAAGTAAAGGGCCCAATCGCCACTCCATTGCTACTCCATCTCTTTGTCTATAAAGCGTGTTGTTGAACTTGAACTGGACATTGAAAATGCATTTCAATAGTAGTGGATCGGAACACCCACGTCCAGATTCTTGATTATTCTTGATGAATTTGCATATAAAGCAAATAGTTTCAGTGAGAGGAACATTCGTGGGAAGGGATGTAACATCCAGAGAGATAATTTTCTCCCCGGATACATTAGTATCACTTATTGAATCGATGAAGTGAAATGAATCTGAAACACCATACTGATAGTGATTGTTTCTGATAGGTAGAAGGATTTCTGTGAGCCATTTGGCAGTAGCATCATATGGGGAATTTGTCATGTGCAAGATTGGACGCAGAGGTACGTTCTTTTCGTGCACTTTTGGGAGACCATATGCATTTCAGAAACGGCGATTGAGACTTCCAAATTTCTTTATTGCGCTTCTTAGTTATTTTCATTATTTTTCTTTAACTTATTTGAAACATAGACAAGACTGCCAATTTATGTTGCGCATACTCCAGCTGGGACATCAGTTCAAAATATGGTTCATTATTGTCAAGTAAGTTGAGCAAGTTTTGACTTTTGACAATTTCTTGATATGTGAACATATTTTTAAGTTAACTGCAATGCCCGTTTCACCCCCACCCCACTGATTTCGTCATTTTTGTTGCCGTTTGCATTGCTTGCGTTTAGAGCATACTGTCGTTTACAATATGTGATATATTTTTTCAGTAACCCTAATTATTATTATTCCCTTGGGTTACAAGTGGAACATAGGGCTTCAACATTACATCTACACTTTGTCCAATTTCAGCTGTCCTCTTCAACTGGGCCCAGAATTGCCCATAATCTTTCATCTCATCCACGCCATACGATTTCCTCCATGTCGTCCTCGGACGACTCAATTGTCCTTTCCCATCCGGGTTCCACTCGAGCAATGACCTGCTTTGCGCACGATGTCATTCGACGGCCTACTCAGTGTGTGTCGAGTCCATCTCCATTTTTTCCTACATATTTATTAATCAATCGGCTCTTGGTTGGTGTTTTTCCAGCCAGAGTTTCTTGTTGCTAATTCTTTCTGGCCGGTAGGCCATTTGATCTGCAGCATGGAGTGTGTGAGGCGGGCAGCTGTTGATAAATGCTTTTCGTGACACGCAGTGTAAGTTTCTGACCTATATAGAGTTCGAGTTAAAAATTCGATCTTTTTTCTTTATGTTGAGGTGGAGTGCAAAAGATTTCCAAACTGGTTTTAGGTTGATGAAGGTGTATCTTGGCTTTCCGATGCTGCCTGGCTTTGAAATCTTTATCCGGTCCACTGGCCTGTAGTTGAAACGATGCTTCCTAGGCAGATAAGTGAAAGAGGTAACCTCTGTCAAATCTCTCCCGTTTATGGTGATTGGTTGTTGTTATCGCTGTTGGTTGGTTATCTTCATTGCCTCCGTCTTCTCTATGTTCATTTGCAATCTTGTCTTTGCTACCACCTTCTTCACACAGTTTGTTGATTTTCGCCTGGAAGCCATTGAGTTTATGTGACATTAAACTTAAATCAGTAACTCTAATAGGTATCGAAACTCTATTAATTCAATACTGTATGTAGATTCTATGGTTAGATCTCTGCAGATACTTTGTCATGCTTTACATTTCGTTTTTAAACAAGTAACAAATGAATGTTATTCCAATTTTTTTTCAAGAAGTAAAGAAAGAAGAGATACCGACAGATGTATTCAGAAAAAATATCTTTGTAGTAATATTTTGTCATTACAAGTAAGCTTTTATTTCCGTTTAACAGCTCTGTGATGTCATTTCGATAAAATAACTTAGTTTATGAAATACCCGGCAATGACTGTGAAGTGGAACACATGGGATCTGAGTAGTAGTCTCTTGTCAATTAGGTTAGCGGCTCATAAAGATTCAACAAAATCCAGACTGGTAAACCCTGATAAGGTAGAAAAAACTCTCAGTTGTAGCAGTAAATGCAATTCCATATTAGTTTGTTTATTAGATATATCACACAGTGATGAAACAGTATCATTTACTGAATGACAAGGTTGCGAACAAAATTTACAGTTCATAATCATTTCATCAATTATAATCACACGACTTCGAAACTTGAGTTTTATAGTTTGCTTTGTTCTCTCCTATTTGTCGTCGTTAGGGTAGTAGAATTTTCCAGATATCTGGGACAGGTGTTGAATCATTCCTGTTACACGTGTTTGCAGTTGATTCGATAAACGAAGCTTCTATTATCAATAGAATGCATGCAGTTACACACAAGTATATGATAGGATGGGATAAGATGAAAGTTTAAAATCTAATGTCACAGGGTATAGGAAGAGATTGATAACAGAAGCTTTGTTTATCGAATCAACTGCAAATACGTGTAACAGGAATGATTCAACACCTGTCCCAGATATCTGGAAAATTCTACTACCCTAACGACGACAAATAGGAGAGAACAAAGCAAACTATAAAACTCAAGTTTCGAAGTCGTGTGATTATAATTGATGAAATGATTATGAACTGTAAATTTTGTTCGCAACCTTGTCATTCAGTAAATGATACTGTTTCATCACTGTGTGATATATCTAATAAACAAACTAATATGGAAATACTACCAAACTGCTCAAGTTTTACACACATATTAGCAGTAAATACAGTTACGCACAACCATTTAGTAGAATAGGTTAAGTTGAGAATCTTAATATCTAATATAGGACAGGGTGAAGAAAAATAGATTTTGTTTTATTTATCGAATCAACGGAGAATACATGAAGTGGTGAATGATTCATCACTTGTCCTGTATCTCTCACAAATTCTACGACCATTAACTTTAGTTATCTGTTACTTTCAAGTTTGATCACGGACTATTTTATCAGTTAGAGAACCACTGAAAAGCAGCACCAGAGTAATGGACAGCTGTTTCGTTCCGGTTTGGGACTCATCGGCAATATTCACTCACCGGCTTTCGAACCCAAGACCTTCTGATTACAAGGCAAGCTCGTAGACCATTCAGCTATTATGTCCCACCCGACTCAATCGCCCATGGTCAAGAGTTGGGCGAAAGCCCAGATGACCTTGAACCGACCAATCAGATCTATCGGCACTATAATTGGATGCTTTTCTTCATAATCTTTGACTCTATTGGTGGTTATGCATCCAGATGCAACCACTGTTATATTAGAAAGTCTGTAAGAGTTGGTAAGGCGTACATTATTGCGAATTGGTGGCGTCATTCATATTGATGAAACAGTACTTATTAGACGAAAACTGAATCGCGATGGAAGAAGAACAAATCATGTTCAGGTGTTGGGGATGTACGACGCAAATCTTCGAAAAGGGTTTGTAGAACGCATCCCACAGAGAAATGCCGACGTTTTAATTATAATTATACAACGAGTGGTCCTCCCACGTACTACCAGTCACACAAATGAGTGGAGAGGTTATTCGCACTTATGACCACTAGTCTATATTCATCATACAGTCAATCATTCTTCTGAATTGGTGGATCCTATATATGAAACCCATACAAATTATATTGAAGGATTCCGGTCCTATCTGAAAGAACGCATTAGAAGAATAAATGATTTTTGTATCAACATTGGTTTGATATGTTCATAACCACTTCTATGAGAAACTGGGACCTCTTTCTGCAGAATAGCAGAGATATATACCATGTATAATCCATTTTGTTTTACACATTTATGTTATAAATACACTTTCTTATAAATTAAATACCACTTTTAACCTGGAAGGATCTGACTGGTTGTCTCAAGGTTATCCGACTTGCGTGTCTATACTTTACTGTTGCCTGCCCATGAATTCTAACTTGTACCAATTCGTGATTTTAACATGACCACCACTACCCAATGTCATCCTTGTCGAGCATTTGTCCTCACTCCCGACAGAATGGACCCCACTGGTCACGTCTTCTCACTAGAATTTCAGGAAATTCGTTTCTGTATCCAGTCACCAGCAAGCATCAGATTAATTTTCCAAGATTTGATTTGGTTTTTAAGTTTAACCACGCATGGGTCTCGGTTGTAGGACCATTGAAAACCAGTTGGAAGTACTGAACAGCTGTTTCATCCTAGTTTAGGAATCATCGGTAGCACGCTGGTGGTCGTGCTGAAAACACGAATTGGTAGAAGTTAGAATTCATGGGCCATTGGATCGCGTCCTAGTGGCTGAATGGTCTACGAGATCGCTCGCCTCGTAACAGGAAGATCCCGGGTTGCAAGCCCGGTGGGTATGTACTACCGATGACTCCCAAACTAGACTGACGAAACAGCTGTCCAGTACTCTGGTGCTGATTTTCATTGGTCAAAGTTGGGAAACAAATCAAATGCGTAGAAATCAACTCTTGAAATATCTATTACTGTTGAACAGTCACTTAATTTACTTAAGTTTTTGTGTACATTATGCGTACATGCAAGTCTAGTGTGCGAAGCCGTGAGAAGTCAGTTTCACTTATAATTTGTACGTATTTAAAATTTCTCTTGTCTCGCCTGATCATCTTATCTTCACAAGAAGGGTTACTTTTGATGCATTATTGTCGCTATTATTAAATACAATTCAGAAATCATTAAAGCCTTCCTACAATAATTATGAATTCTACTATTCATCTGTAACTTTCAAACTACTTCACACAGCTTTGATCATATGACTGATATTTAAGCAACTGGGAGACATGTGTCACATGCTTAACTCTTGCAAATATAGAACCCTGGTGGGTGCGTACTGCCTAAGAGTCCCAAACTAGGACGAAACAGCTGTCCAGTACTTCCAGGTTTTCCAATGGTTCTCTAACCAATGTCAGTTCATGATGAAATCCTGTAACCATAGATTAATTAGTTTTATCATCATTTTCGAAAGCTATAACATGGTTAGATCTTAAGCTCACCCTATCACTCAATTACAGTGAGACATTCTTTTCCCTGGAGGTCTTGTATTTTTCTCAAATCTTCAGGCCGTTTAAATTCAATATGAAATGTCAGCATATGACTTTGTTCTACTAAGCCAGTGAATGGAAGAAGCTTCAAAATATCGCTGTTTCTGCACAAACACTGCCCTCTCAGTGTGGTGTTATTTTCTGAGTGGCTATACTGCATTCAATGAAATTTTCGGGTTGATTTTATTACATGGAAGTACAAATTAGAGATTTTACATTATGCATGAATCGTCAGAAAAGTAAAGCATCTGGTCGACTACAGTATTCAATATTGATTGTTTTGAAATTAGTACCAATGTAACTGTAGAAGACAAGGGATTTCGTATCTCTGTATAACGAAATTATGTACACCTTATCTTCAAAGCACCATTTGTGCACAGATCTTCCGTGTTGTGCTACTTCTGGCCTTCTTTCACATTGCGTTTCTTTGTGATCCTGTTACGTCTTCCATGTATCTCCAAAACGCTGTAGCATTTACTTTCTCTGACATTAAATCTATCTCCCTGTCACTTAGTGTTTTTATGCCGATGAACATGTCTTCATGTATGTATACTACTGATAAAGCTTGTCAGTAGCACATATCACACCAGTAATTTACTTATTTACATGCATAGCAAATGTTATAATAATATTTCACTGGTTGGAGGGTTTCATCATGAGCTGACATCAGTTAGAGAACCATTGGAAAACCAGCTAGGAGTACTGGACAGATGTTTCCTCCCAGCTTGGGTCTCTTCACCGTAGGCATTCACCGGGGTTTGAACCTAAGATCTTCTGGTTACAAGGCTATCTAGCAGACCCTTAAGCCACTTCGACTGGATCCAATGGGTACAGCAGGTCAAAGCTTAGGATAGCTCCTCATCGAAGACATTCCGAAGTGGTCGCGCTTTGTCGTGAATTGGTAGAAGTGAGATTTCATTATCCATTGGATCGGTTCACAGTGAATTAACCAGAAGGTACTGGGTTAGAACTCCGGTGTGTGCATACTGCCAAAGTGTCCCAAACTAGGCTGACGAAATGACTGTCCAGTACTCCCTCACAGGTTTTCCAATGGTTCTCTAACTGATGTCAGCTCACTATGAAATCCTCCAACCAATCAAACATATTCCCTACAAACCACTACTTGATAATAATAATAATATTTAACTTATTTTGGCTTCTTTTAATTATTTTTCATATTAATTTTCTTTTTCACTTACTCTTACAGGCTATAATGTCTGATCGTTTTCAGAAGTACGACTACGGAGATGAGAAAAATGTAGAAATATACGGTCAACCTGATCCACCATTGTATGATATTTCTAAACTGAAAGTGCCTATTGTAATTTACTACGGTGGTCATGATTGGCTTGCCTCTCCTAAAGATGTTCGCAAACTTGCTAAGCAGATAAACTATACTGTTTCCGGCGTACATTATCTTCCTCATTATAACCATTTGGATTTTGTCTGGGGTTTAGATGCTGGTAAAGTGTTATATCCTTCAGTTTTAAAGCATCTGTCAAACGTTTAAGAAGCCAGAGAAAGCCTGTTTTGCATAGGATAATAGCTTTGCTTCAATGTGAAAGTGTATTTCATTCATTCATTCATTCAATATTCTCCGGTTATTTCTTATCGCGTAATTCACTTTCCTAAATTTGTAACTTGTGAACTTTGTTTTGTTGTTGTCATGCGATTATGTCTAAAGCGGTGATTGAATTTTTTTCTCATCCTTTGATTTATTTTTATACAGTGAATTGTATTCAACGACAATTTTTTCTTTACACGGATATAAAATCATGTGGCTTGAAATCTCCGATTACTGCACAAAACAAATGGCATTCATAGAAGTCTGTCTTCCCTTTTTTTTCTCTCTCACTTATTTGCGAATACGAAGGGGCTGTTTAGTGTTTGCTCAAAATGTCCCTGAAGAGTGTCAAGCGAAGTGATCCAATGACTTATACATTTATTATCATTATTTCCTTTAGTTCCTAGAAGAACATAGGGCTTCAGCCACGCACGTATCCATTGCGTTTGGTCCACTACCAACGTTTTCACCTGACTACACGTATGCCAACATTCTTTCATCTCCTCCTCCATGTCTTCCTCTCACTGATGACCAACTAACTAGCCACTTCCCATTCAGGTTTCACTCGAGTGACGGCCTGGTGCGTGATGTCACTCGATGGTGGTTTGTTTTCTCAGAGTACGGCCTCCAGTCCACCTCCATTTATTCCTGCATATTTGTTGCCCAATCGGTTCCTGCTGGGATGGTTCGCTCATTACCAGAGATCATACCCTGTTGCTGATCTTTTCTGGCTGTCCATCCGATCTTGAGCGAAGTACTGAACGAAGACAGCTGTTGATGAAGGTTTGTAGTTTGTCCGAAGTGCCCTTTTTGACGCGCCAAGTGTCTGATCCGTATAGTAAGCAGCGCTGACTTCACATTGGAATTGAAAATCTAGATCTTATTTGTCATGATGAATAGTGCTGTTGGTCTCCTTCACATAAACTTGAGAGGAATGAAAGCCTGCCTTGCTTTCCCGATCCTCGCTGCTTTGATATCCTCATCACTTCCATCCGCCTGTAGTTGAAACGATGATTCTCAGGTAGGCAGGTAGGTAAAGGAGGTCGCTTCTTCTAGATTCCTACCTATTTATGCTGATTGTCATCTGTTGTTGTTGGCCAAGAATCTTAATCACCTATGTTTTCTTTGTGTTCGTCTGAAGTCCTATCCTTGATGCTTCTTCTGACAACTTATTGCTTTTCACTTACATATCTTCGAGTTTGTGAGAAATCATATATATATATATATGTATACATCATTGGCGAAGTCCAGATCCTCCAAGTTTCTTGTGTGGGTCCATTTTATGCCTGTTTCCTTGTTGCCCGCCCTGTCTATCGCATTATCCGGTCTACCGCAATCAGGAAAATCATTGGGGATAGTACATACAGTACACACATACACTGTTCGAACAAAGTAAGTTTCTAATATTACAAAGCTAATTTTTACATGAATTCTGTTGAAACCGTATCGTTCCGATATATCCTAACATGTGTGTATTTTGAAGTAAAAGAATTTGCTATTCAATCAGTAGTTGAATATCACTCATATATCAGTTAGAAATCTTAGGAAGCACTTCCAACCCACCCACCCATGTAGAATTTTTCAAAACATTAAATCTGAACCTGGTTTGTACACATCTAAACCTGATTAAATGAACTGTGTTCTTATTGGTAAATCGTATGTATGATCTCACCAAGCACATCAAAATGGCTTAAACGCATTGGAAATTGATTAGAAAGAAAAACTGAGCAAAGAATATTGTTTACGATAATTTCCTCTTCCGGCTGTACAATTGTATGCAATTATATTTATATACAAAGAATATTTTAGAATAATCGACATTAACAGTGTTGGTGATTTTTGTCTCAATAATATCGATTTGTTAAGATCACAATGACTGACTGACTGACTGATTTCAACATACAACTTTCCACTGATGTTCAGCAGTTCAAGTCACCACACTTCACTCAGCACACAAAGCCAGAGAAGAAATTAAAAAGAAACGCAAAATAGAGACAGTAAGCAGAGATATGAGGCGAAAAGAATTGTAATATCCTAGAACAATATAGTTTTATTGGAAATTATAAGTCACATGGAGTGGATGCGTCTGCTCCATTGAGAACGACGATTTTGAGCCATATCACCAATTGGCTCCAGCCTTCATTGGTAAATACCGTCCCGGGGGCCCCAACCAGGAAGTCTACTCCTTCCTACGTGCCTTAAATTAACTGTTGTGGATTTCAATGACTGATGAAACCATGTTTTTTGTTTGACCATCAGTGGCAGTTTTCCAGCCTGACCCTATGTCAGCTGACATTGCCCGTCAGTCGAGGAAGGCGATAACTAGGCATACGTAATACATGTCCTAATCATCTCAGTCGACGTAATTTCACAGTCTCGTCGACTGACTTCCCCTCCTTACCTAGCACTCGACGCCTAACCTCAATACATCTCTCAACGGCGGCCTGCTTAAATCTTGGGTTACCAAAATTTCCATCCTATATATTGCATCTATTTCCTCGGATTTATTTTGTTTGAATCATTCAATTATGTGTCCTAATCGTATTGTCTACTCTCGCGGTTATTTAAAACGTTTCCAACCGGCTGATTTACTAGTTTCTAACAAACTTAAGAAAAAGCCTCATGGTGGATGGCAGCGAGCTTTAAAGCGTACTCCAATGCATTTAATGACTGTTCCTGCGATTATGAGCACAAATCGCAGATCTCTACCGAACAAGATTAATTGCTTGCATTCTCTATTATACTCAAATGTATATTGTAATACTGGTGTAGTTACTCTTCAAGATTCATATGACAATAATTTAGTCTCCTTAAGTGGTTTCACAATATACAGGCAAGATCGATGCAGCTCAAAGAAGAAGAGAAGTGGTGATGTTGCCACTTTTATTTATTCTCAGTGGTCTACTGCCAACAACGTCTGCTTCAAATTCTCAAATGACAATATTGATTATATAACTATTAAATGTCGACCTAAACACTTATCTAAGTATAACTTCATTTTTGTCACAAATATCTATGTCACACCTTCTTGCAGTCCCTCAGAACTATCGATCTTTGCTGACGAATTCACTATTTTTGCTGCTGCTTCGTTTGGTAACTCCTTGTCTGTAGTGACTGGTGACTTCAAAGCCAGTGACCACAGTTTTATTACATTGCTGGGTCATGAAAATGTTGTTAACTTCCCAACTCGACAAGATACTTCACTTGATTTAGTATTTATAAATGATTCTGGAATATACGAAGCTCTTAAACTGAATCCTTCTAAATGTCAAACTGTTAATTTCACCTTAAGATGTAAACGACAATTAAAAGAAGGCGTTGATTCTCATGACAGTTGTAAGATTGATGACAATGATATAGGAATTAAATCAGAAATTAAGTATCTTGGACTTATTCTCTCTTTTGATCTCCCCTGGTCTTCCCATGTCTTAGCGATCTCAAGTAAAATATTCCGCCTGACATTTTACATTAAGAAGTTAAGGCACTCGCGTATAACTCAACCCCTTCTCTTACATTTCATAAACTCTTGCATCCTACCTATTCTTCTTTATTGTTCACCCTTATTCTTTCCTGGTTTGCTTAAAAAGGACTTTGTCACAATTCGTAGAATGCTGAAGACTGTCAGTAGGATGAGCGGTGTCCCAGTGGACTATATAGTTAACGTGGTTGTCGATAGGCATTTGACTTCGTGCAGTAAATTTGCTAAGGGGATTTTGTCTGACTTGGAGCATCCACTTCACCCTCAGCTTTCACCTTGTTCTACTCAGGTAGAACAAGAAGTAACTTCAGAAAACTGTATGCTCGCACGTCTAAGCATAAAAATTCTATGATGCCATACTTGGCACGTATTTTATGTGATGAAAATAGTGTCAGGCAAGAATTGACTAACCTTTTTTCATCTAGTAAATAAACAATCTCCTCCATCCATCTTTATATACCTTCAAGTTTTACTTTTATTATTTCTATTATATTTATGGTCCTGTTGATTCTTTGTTTTCACTTTCATAACTGCAAACACCAACTTATCTCTATGACTGCTGTAATCTTTCTTTTTCCCCTCACCATATCATGTAAAGAGAACATTATATTCAATATTTTTAATCATACAAGGATTTGTATACCACATCGACAATACTGTGTGAAACAAGCCCACGGCAATTCTTACTTGTATTATTATCATTACCTTAGCTGCTATCATTATTATTATTTCCATTTTATATGCTGCATGTTTTTTATTTTTTATTTTTTTTATATTAACCCTATTGTAAATGTAGAAAAATTTTCTGTGTGATTAATTTTATTTATAATTTGAGGAAATTAGATGCAATATTGTGATTAATGCTGAAAATTCCATTCTGTATCACAAGTACTGTTTTTGGAATAAAGTATATTATTATTATTATTATTATACTGCTCACCTTATTATACCACTTCACGCGGGAAATAGAACGCAGACACCTATGATCAAAGACAGCTAATCTTTTCATGTCTTCCACTCTCAATGGCCATGTCTCACAACCGGAGCGGACTGCTGAGCAGTACACACTCCCTTTGGTTGATAGCTGGAATCACGTCTACGCCAGAGACGGCGTAAGCTGGAGTATGCGAATCTAGCCCTCTGTATTCGTGCTGAGATTTCGTTGGAGATCAACCCGCTGGGGCTGATGGTACTTCCCAAGTAAGTGAAGCGGTCAACGTGCTCTACCACTTAACTTCCTATTTCTAATCTAGGAGTCGGAGTAGTCCAATCCCGCAACATCATCTTACATTTTACAGAGGCTGGTTGACTAGAAGTCATGTTTTCTACAGGATCGATGGTGATTCCTCGACTGAAAGATGACGTATCTAGACTAGCCGCTTGCAATTGCGTCTACTAATGCAACTGCATTTGTGGTGGAGCAAGTTACATTGACCGTAACTCTAGGAACTTGGTTTTTCGTTTTCGATCGGGAACATCTACCAGTGTGGCTCAATAAAATCGTAGTAAAAACCATCAACAGTTCGATATAAGACTACCTTCTCTAAACGTGCCACGGAATCAGCATTGAAGAAACCTTCTCCATCATGTACCGGGCACCAAATAAATTGCCAAAAACATTGAGGTACCAGATGCTGCAAACAGCAGAGGCTATCAAGACTCGCGTGAAACAACCAGTGCTTTGTGTGCAAACGAGGCAAGTCAAGCTAGCCACTACTACTACCCTGGCCAGCCTTCAGTGGAGACTATAAATTCATGAATTCTGTATTACTATTACTTTTCCTAATTTGTCTGTCTGATATTCAGTGTGCATTGTTATGTTGATGCTATCGAACTCTAATCCGTTATTATTATTATTGATTCGATGTTATTTAAACGGCGTTAATGTTGTTAATAACACTAATTCATTCATTCACTATTATGTATGTATATATAACTGTAGAACCTGATGAAGTGCAGGTTATTGAAAGGCAGATATTCTTTGTTCAGTAAACATTCTTTTGAAAAAATTTTAATGGGCATTTCTAATCAGTTTAAGATGTCGTTGTCAAATGAAAATAGTTTGACATAATTCAGTAGTATAATCAACATAAATCAGGTATTTTTCAATTCCACACAACATAATATATATGTGGACGAAAATGATATTGTTCCTGAGCTAATTATCAGCATCACAGACAAAGTTGTAAATGGTTATTAAGGTGACAAATTATACTGTAAATTTGATTCAGACAAAACAAAGTAAATCAACATACTACTGACAAGGTGTGATTAAGATCTCACAGGTGTTTCAGTGGGCAACTGAAATATGATATATATATGGCATGAA